ATGAACTAGGAAAGGGAACACTTATATTGTGGATCTAAATTCTGTCCCAAGGAACAACCTTACATGCTTGAGTGCCATTTATGATGATCCTTTATTATGGCATAAACGTTTTGGACATTCTAGTTTCTCACTCATGGATAAACTTAGAGCGAGGAACTTGGTCATAGGGCTTCCCTCATTCAAGTTCCTCGTACAACATATCTGTGATGCATGTGTGAGAGGCAAGCAAGTCAGGTCATCTTTTAAAAGTAAAAACTTGGTAAGCACCACAAAGCCATTGGAACTCATACACATGGATTTGTGTGGCCCCATGCGTGTTCAAAGTAGAAGTGGAAAGAAATATGTTCTAGTTATTATTGATGATTTTTCTAGATTTACCTGGGTGATTTTTCTGTCTAGCAAGAATGAAACCTTTGATGAATTTGTGTCATTTTCCAAGAAAGTGCAGAAGACTAGTGGAAATCAAATTATCCACATTCGGTCAGATCATGGAACTGAGTTCGAAAATTCAAGATTTGATGAATTCTGCAGAGAAAATGGCATGGATCATAACTTCTCAGCCCCAAGAACTCCTCAACAAAATGGAGTTGTGGAGATGAAGAACAGGACCGTAGAAGACATGGCAAGAACAATGCTCATAGCTAGTGGACTTCCAAGGAACTTCTGCGCTGAAGCTATCAACACTGCTTGCTATATTATAAATCGAGTTATGATGAGACCAATCATCAATAAAACTCCATATGAACTGTTTAAGGGCAGAAAACCCAATATTTCTCACTTTAGAGCTTTTGGATGCAGGTGCTTTGTCCATAATAATGGAAAAAGGAACATTGGAAAATTTGATGAAAGAAGTGATGAAGCTGTGTTTCTTGGCTATGCATCAAATAGCAAGGCTTACAGAGTTTACAATAAAAATACTATGTGTGTCGAAGAAAACATTCATGTGATATTTGATGAATCTAATGTGTTTATGAATGTGCAGTAACAAGACTCTAATGATTATGAAATTGGTATGGTTAGAGATAGGGAGGATGATGAAGAGGAAACCAGTCATCCCAAGGAAAAACAAGTTGAACCTGAACAAGGTCATCAGGAAAATGCTGAAGTTCCTCCACCTGAAGTTCAGGAGGAACAAGATCATGAAGAAACAGGCAACATAGAGGAACCTGAGGAAGCAAAAGAAGAAGTGCCTCAAATAGGAGTTCCTGCCAGAGAGTTTCATCCAAAGCCCTTCAAATATCAAGGCTCTCATCCTACTAATCTCATCATAAGTGACATTGGTAGAGGAACTCAAACTAGATCACATATGAGGAACTTCTGTGCCTTCCAATCCTTTCTATCCATAATTGAGCCAAGAAATCATGAAGAAGCTCTCAAAGATGATGACTGGATAATTGCCATGTAAGATGAACTCAATGAATTTGAAAAGAAAAGGGTCTGACATCTTGAAGAGAAACCCAAGAATAAAAAGGTAATAGGACTCAAGTGGGTTTTCAGAAACAAGCTGGATGAGTATTACTTTTAGTGTTGGTTTATGTGCTAGGTTTCAATCAAATCCTAAAGAATCTCATCTTATGGCAGTTAAAAGGATTCTAAGATACCTCAAAGGAACTGACAATCTCTGCCTCTTCTATCCTAGAAGTGATACTTTTGATTTAAAAGGTTTTGTAGATGCTGATTATGCAGGAGATTTGGTGAACAGGAAAAGCACTTCTAGAATGGTCCAGTTCCTTGGACCATGTCTAGTTTCTTGGGGCTCCAAGAAACAAAATACAGTAGCCCTATCAACTACTGAAGCTGAGTATGTGGCTGCTGCAGCTTGTTGTTCCCAAGTTCTTTGGATCAAACAACAATTAAGAGATTATGGTACGAAATATAATTGCATTCCTATTTATTGTGACAATACAAGTGCCATATGCATTTCAAAAGATCCAGTTCATCATTCTCGTGTGAAGCATATTCACATAAGGCATCATGTTTTTTTACGGGCAAAGCAAACATTTTATTAATGGCTAATATCAAAGAGTACATAGGCCTGAATTAAATCAGGAAAATCTTCTAACAAAACACGATAATCATCATAACTATTACTCAAACGAGCAAGATGGTGAGCCACTGATTTCCTGTTCTTCTCACCCAAGAGTAGGAGCATTTAGAACAGCTAGCAGCCATGAAGATGTCCTTTATGATTAAGCCCATTGCTGAAGAGTCCGCTTTCCCCTTCTCCAAAGCATGAAAAAGTCTCTGACTATCCGTCTTAAGTATCACATTTCTATACCCCGCATCCATAGAGACCCGTAAAGCATGCCTCAGAGCTAAAGCCTCAGCAACATCTACATCCTTCTCCCCCCTCACCTTGCTGCACGTAGCCAACACTATATCACCCTCCATATCCCTTATCACTCCACCTAAACCAATCACACCCATTTCTAAGAAAGTAGCATCAGAGTTAACTTTGTAAGTACCAGAGCACGACTTTTTCCATTTCGAGCACTCCACCCTATCTCCCTTAGCACTCCCTTCTCCTTCCGTTGCCTTCTCACATTCACTCACAATTTGCATTGCTTTGTGAATTATCCCTCCGCGTTCCCATTTTTTCTTATCAAAGACCCACATATTTCTACTGTGCCAGATTTCCCAGAGAATGCACCAAAAAATACTCCACCACCTCTTCCCATTTCGAGTCTTGGCAACGTTAGAGCACCATTGCGCAAAATTACCCCCACTTGTATTAGTCATATCAATTCTAAGAGGAGATTGCATCCACGTAATACTCGCCCAAGGGCAGTTCACAAACAAGTGGAGAACCGTTTCTTCATCAGCACCACACATAGGATAAATAAGGTCGATAGACATACCTTTTTTAATTAAAGCTGCTGGCACAGGTAGTCCACCCTTTAAAGCCTTCCAAGCAAAGATTTTAATTTTAGGGGGAATATCATTAATCCACACATTATTCCACTTAAAATCTGTAGGAGGGTTGGAAGTTGAGGCACTGTTCTGTTTCAACTCACTTAGTAGACAATTATAGGCGCTTCGAACAGAAAAATCACCACTCTTTGCAAGCATCCAGGTCCAGCAGTCATCAGTGTTATACATCGAAGTCGAGATTTTCCTTATAGGATCAATCTCCACTCTTGAAAACAGGCTCTCAAGAACCCCAATATCCCAACTTCCCTTGATCAGCAACTCATCAACCATATAAGGGCCCTGATCACTCGTTCTATTAACACCCTCCACTCGAAACTCTGGCAGAGAAGGAACCCAGGGATCCTTCCAAATATCAACAGAGGCACCACTTCCAATTATCTTCCTTACTCCTTTTCTGAGCACCCACCTAGCATTGCAAATGGATTTCCAAGAATAGCTTGCATCAGGACTGACCACAGCATCCAAAAAGGACGAATTTAGAAAATATTTCTCTTTTAAAATCTTCGCCATCAGGGAGTTTTCATTAGTAAGAATTCGCCAGCCTTGCTTTGCCAGTAGAGCATTATTGAACAATCTCATATTCCTGAAACCCATTCCTCCCTCTTTCTTTGGGTGGTACATCTTTTCCCATGCCACCCACATAAGCTTCCTCTCCTCCCCTTTTTGACCCCAAAAAAATTGCCTACATAATTTCTCCACTACCTCAAGAATACTCTTCGGAAGAGCAAAGCATTGCATCGCATAAGATGGTATAGCTTGAGCGACAGCTTTAATAAGCACCTCCCTTCCCGCTTGAGAAAGAAATTTCTCTTTCCACCCTTTTAGCTTCTTCCAAACTCGATCTTGAATTGATTGGAAAATCTTCTTTTTTGACGCTCCCACATAGGTAGGAAGGCCAAGGTATTTCTCATGGTCATCTACAACTTTAAAGGTTAACTTCGTCTGAAGCAAATTTCTCTTTGCAAGCTCCACATTTCGGCTAAACGACACCTCAGATTTATCCATATTCAATTTTTGTCCGGAAGCAGCCTCATAGATAGAAAGAATGTCAAGGACTTCCTCCACCTCCTCCTCACATGCTCTTATGAAAAGCAAACTATCATCGGCGAAAAAAAGATGGCTAATGGGTTCCACTTTTCTTCTGACTTTTATACCATGGATACTTTTCTTCATCTCTGCATCTCTCAATAGAGCCGACAACCCCTCCGCACATATGATAAAAAGGAAAGGTGATAGGGGATCACCTTGATGGAGCCCACGGCTAGGATAGAACCATCTTGAAGGTTTCCCGTTAACCAACACCGAGAAAGATGTCGATGACACACACCTCATAATAAGCTTGGTGAAACGAGACGGAAAATCCATTTTAATCATCATTCTCTCCAGAAAACTCCACTCGACTCTATCATAAGCCTTGCTCATATCTAATTTAAGCCCCATGTATCCTTTTATACCAGTCTTCTTCTTCCTCAAATAGTGAAAACACTCATAAGCTACTAAAATATTATCAGTGATTAGCCTCCCAGGAACAAAGCCACTTTGAGTTTCATTGATAATATGAGGGAGAACTCTCTTTAGGCGGTTTGCAAAGACTTTCGAGACCAATTTATACAACACATTACAGAGACTAATTGGTCTAAAATCAATAGGGGACTCACAAATCTTCTTTATTGGTATTAATACCACGTGAGTCTGATTAAAAGAACCAATGTCATCACCATTGTTCAACACCCCCAAAACCATGTCACAAACATCTTCTCCAACAATGCTCCAATATTTTTGATAGAAAATTGCAGACATTCCATCCGGCCCCGACGCTTTAGTAGGATGCATTTGATCTAATGCCTCCTTCACCTCTTTTCTATCAAAAGTTCCTTCAAGCATACTCATTAGATCGGCACGAACAGTCATCGTGACCTTGTCAATAACGAGATCGCACTCCACATGGTTGCCCGAGGTAAATAAATTCTCATAAAAACTAGCAAAAACCTCTGTGATTTTCTCTTCATTGTTGTATACAATGCCACCCTCATCTTGATTTCAGCTATGCAATTTCTGGCCACACGTTGTTAAGCTTTTTGGTGAAAGAAAGCCGTGTTTTTGTCACCACTGGTAATCCACTCCTGCCTGCTGCGTTGATGCCAATAGACCTCTTCACGTTTCTCCAATTCATCCATTCCAGCATCGATCGCTCTCATATCCGCAATCACCCTATCCGTTGGCTCTTCCCTCATCAGAACCTCCATTTTACCTTTACAGTCACGCATTTCCTTTGAAAAATCCCCGAAATGCTTCCTGCTCCAGGTTTGCAGATGTGAGGCAGTAGCACATAATTTTGCAGCCACTCCCCCACCCCCAGACCAAGCTTTCGCTATAATCAACACATTGTGGGTCTCGAGTCCACATCTCCTCGAACCTATACAATTTTTTTTCTTTGATTTCTATCTTCTTCTTCAAACACAGCAAAATAGGAAGGTGATCAGAGCGTCTCTTTGTGAGATGTGACACAAACGAGCCAGGAAATAAATCTTTCCATTTTCCGGTTGCAAAAAAATGATCCAATCTTTCCTGTAGATTTGCTTCACCACCCCTGTTATTATTCCAGGTGAAATCATAACCCACATAGCCAAGGTCTTCAAAATTACACATATTAGCAGCATGTCTTGATATCTCAGCCTCCGAGACATTAAAACTATTTCCTCCTTGCTTTTCACACGCCATCAACATCAGATTAAAATCGCCTCCACAGACCCAAGGTTTGTCATCTATACCCGCAAGTTTCTCCAGCAGGGCTCCAGTCTTGGTTTTATTTTCTTCTTCTGGATACCCGTAAATCCCCGTAAATCTCCACTCTTCATCCACTTCACTTATGACACCAATATCAATATGATTCAGAGAAAATGACTGTATAGTAATGTCAAAAACAGGTCTCCATAATATGGCAAGCCCACCTCTTCTTTTCCTTCCCTCACCTTCACAACTCACAACAAAAAAATTCTCGAAACCCAGCTTCACTTTAACCCTTTCCATATCAAACGATTTCAGCCTAGTCTCCGAAAGAAAAATCAGTTGGGGATGTTCAGTAATGACAATGCGTTTAAACGCATTCACTGCATAAGCACTCCCCAAGCCTCTGCAGTTCCAGGAAAGTATGTTATTCATGAGTCACCAAGAGCCTAGGTTGTGGGGCCCGCCACATCTACATTACTTGCCTCAACTTCTCTTCTCTTTATAGCAACACCGACTTCACGTTCAATGAGAGTGCCTTCAATAATACCCTCCTCCCTCGCTCCCCTTTTAACTCCAATGTTCACCTTCTCTGCCCCACTCCCCTTACTCCCTCCCTTCTCTATTTTTCTCCAGGATCTTTTTATCTTTTTTCCTTCATTCCCCTCCCCCCAATTATCCACATACATCATGTCAGTGTCATATTCACCCTCCCTATTAACAGCATCATCTTTTGCAATCAAACTGGCATTCACATTATACTCTCCTTCTAAAATGTTATCTGGAGGTGCTTCCGTAAGAGGTGCTGCATCTAAAGAAGCATTTTCAAGGATTAAAGGACTCGAAACTTTAACCTCACTTAACTTCTTTGTCACCACCTGCACATTCTGCTCTGATTGTTTTTGCTCACTTAATTTTGGCTTTGTAACAAACAACCTATTTGCACAACTCTTCTCCGAGCCTTGTCCTTCTTTACCATCCCCCCTACTCACTCTCCACTGAGATACTTTCAGCCACATGCCAAACCCCAGCACTGCCATGTCTGAGTCTTTACAATCGTCACAATCTTTAACTCCATGTCCAATCATGCCACAATAGAAACAAAAGACAGGGGGTTTTTCATATTTCACTTCAAAAGTCTCCTCCTCTCCACCCCTCATCTTTACTCTCACATTCTTCCGCAAAGGTTTTCAAACATCCACTAGAACTCTAATCCGAATGGATCTGTTAATTCCTACTGAGGCAGCGTTGTCCATTCTAACAAAGGTGCCAATCTTATTGCCCAGTTTTTCCACATTTGCCACATTTAATCTGCCTTTGAAAGGTAATTTATACACTCTTACCCACATTGGCAGATTAAATAATTTTATGTCAGAAGGCTTTTCATTGCATCCAACTTCTCCCAAAATTAGAGCATGACGGTCAAAATGCCATGGTTGTTCCTCAAGAACCCTTCCCTTATCCCTCCAGTGGTAGAACTGGAACATATATAGGTTTTTACCAATATTGCTAATGTCTACGCCATATTTAGGGTTCCAGACGCCTTTTATGGTACTAATGAATGCATTGACATTAATAGATCGATCGGTCCATATCTTACCAACGAAGCTCAATTCGACTCTAGCATCCTCATCTTCCTCTTCTCCTATATCCCATTCCACTACTTCCTCATCGCCCTTTTGTTTATCGATCTTTTCATTCTTCTCCGCAACGGTTTTGTTAGGTTGACTGCTATTATCTGTCTCTAAATCTTCTAGGCCTTTATTGTTAGCCTCAACAATTTCTTTTGATGAATTCTCCATAGAAAAACAATAATTATACTCGAAAAATCGAGAAGAAACCTTCAAGCAAAGGAGAGCCAAGAAACCCTAGAAAAAACCCTCCCAAGAGACGTGCTCTAGAGGGAACTTTTTTTAGAAGAGGTTCATTTTCACATAAGGCATCATTTTCTTAAGGATAATGTTGAAAAAGGCTTAATTAAATTGGATTTTGTGATACTGGAAATCAAATTGCTGACATTCTTACTAAGCCTTTGAGCAGGGATAAATTTGAAAAGATGCGCATGGAACTTGGTATGATACAATTGAGTTAAGAAGACCTCAAGTTCCCCCCACACTACAAGAAAAATCACTTTTCGTAGCGATTATTTCGTAGCGATTGATCATTCGCTACAATATGCAAGTATGTTTGTGAAATAATTAAGGATGTCGTATCATTTTTACAATCGCCATGGTTTTCCCATATAAAATCGATACGGAAAGCATAATAATACATATCTACACTATTTTTACACATTTATATAATTTTGAGAAATCGTATCATTTACAATCGCCACTAAATCCTAAAAATCGATACGAAAAGCCTTTTCAACACTAGATATATAAATATTGTTTGAAAAAGAATACATAAAATATGTCATAACTTATTGGTGAAACATTTATAAGAGTTTGAGGTTGCATGTTCGAATCTTGTAAAGATCATACGCATGTTTTTTTTTTAAGAAAATGAGTTGAACATTTATAGCGATTGTAATCGCTATAATAATCACCACGATTGGATGTAGTTTTTCGTATCGATTATTGAGGCCAACCCCAGCGATATTGAAAACCACTATTAAAGGCTAAGGCAACGGGGGATATTGTATCGAATGATAATTCGTTGGGAAAGATTTTTGTTGCAATTACAATCGATACTAAAGGTTAAAATAATCGCTACGAAAAGGTTATTTTCTTGTAGTGCCAAAGGTATAAGTCAACTATGTATGCAATGTATGTCTTACACAATCTGAATATGTGAAAACATAGTCCTAAGCATTAGAATGTATGGCATTGCATATGGGATTGTGGTTGTATGTGATGAAATCAAATTGCATTAGGCATGTCCATGTTATAACAAACTATGTTGATTTGTTCCAAGTTCCTCCCAAATATTATATCAGATTTTGTTTTATCCGTTTATGAATTAATTAGCTAGTCAGTTAATTAATTTTATCCTTTTGAAAATCTTATCTTTCTATTCTGATTTTGAATTATTTTCGAGTATTTATCATTAGAATTCAAATCAAAATTTTATTTAAATACCCAAGACTCTTGGAATTCAATCAGAGTTTCTGATCAAAGATTATCTTCAATTAACCAAGACCCTTCATGTCAAATCACATTAAATTTCTAACTGACCAAGTTAAAAGTAATTTCTCTATCCTTCATCAATCGACACCTACACTATTCAATTAACCTTCCACAATCTTTCATCGACTCTTTTACCCCTTGAAATTCCATCCTTATAAAATGACACCAAACCCTACACACTGTTCCTCACCTCCTCACTCCGTAAAATACACCCTACATTTTACCGATTCAGCGAATTCACCCATGGATGTTTCACCAAAACCTCAAGTTACCCCTCAAAAGGATTCACCCATGGATATCGAGTAAGAGAATCAAACAAAACCCTCTGTTGAAAAATCAAAGAACTTGCCTGCTGAGTCTAAGAAACGAAAGCTGGAGGAACTCGAGGATCAGGGCTGGGAGGAATTAGGAGAAAAGATTCAGTTGGAAAATTCTCCATCTCTCAAGAAAATCGAAGCAAGCTCTGAACGCTTCATTCACGGTTTCTGCATCAACTTACCGTGGTGTGAAGTAAGTAAGTATTCTGAATTACTTGAAATCTTAGAGGCTCAAAATTGGGTGCAATTGTTTAGTGAAAGTTACAATAATGTGCTTGCTCATGCTTCTTTGAAAGAATTCAGTGCGAATTTTAAGAATTTTGATGGTGTTTGTGTGTCAAGAGTTAAAAATAAAAAAAATTAGTTTTGATGCTGATTATCTATGTGCTATCTTTGGAACTCCAAATAAGGGGTTTGATGAGTATTTTAAAGGAGCTACTGATAAAAGTGAAGGAGAAGTGCCTATAAAAGAAATTGTGGAATCAATTGGTGGAAAGGTGTCTAAAGTCCAAACTAATCATAACCTGTTCTCTCCCATTCAGAAACTGTTGTTTATCTTTGTGCTCTTAGCCATAGTTCCAAGAACTCAGCACAGGCATGAGGCTAACCACCTTGATGCTATGCTGATGTACTACCTTGAAAACAAAATACAAATCAACTTCCCTTCCATCATGATAAAACACCTCAACCACTGTCTTGCAAACCATTTGAAAGTAGGATATGCAAATCTGATCATTACTCTCATTGAGAGTTTTGGTATTTCAGTAGAGAACTGTGAACATCTCAAACTACAAACCAATCATTTTTTTTTAACCCAAAACCCTTGAAAGCAGAAACTTGCATGTTGTTGATGGTGTTACCCAATTTCTTCCAAAACAAACTCCTAAGGCTAAGGAAGGAGTTAAGGTTCTGACTGAGGAAGAGGAGTTGGATAAATGGCTGGAAGGAGAGGATAGTGAGGGAGAGGAAGAAAATAAAGAAAAAATGAAAGACAAAGAAGAAAGTTTTGAAAAGAAGGGCAGGAAAGGTAGTGCTTCTGGTACTGGGAAAAGGAAGAGCATTAGGTTGGCTGTTAAGCCAAAAATGAAAGCTGAGGCTCCAGCTGCTTTCGTGTATCTCAGTGAGGAGAAAGCTTTTGTTAAGGGGGAACAGGGCATGTTTGTGCAAGAAACTGTCACTCGTTCTGCTCCAGTAAGTGCAGGTTCAGGATTTGCTGCCTTTAGTTCTGTGAGTTCCACTTTGGAACTGAAGGCACTCAAAGATGCTGTCAAGCTGCTGTCTGATGCTCAACCAGCACTGCTTCTGAGGATTGGGGCTCTTGAGAAACTGGTAGGAGACCTGGTGCAAGCTTCTAAGGAACTCACCTCAGCAATGAAGGAAATCACTTCAACTCTCTCTCAAGGCCAGGCTGATTTGTTGAAAAAGCTAAAAGATATAGTAGTTGAAGAAGAATCAGACGAGGATACAAGAGAAGAGCACAAGTCCCCAGCCCCTGAATCCTAGTTCTATTTTCTGTCTATCTCATCTCTCAAACTATCTTTTGATCTTGATCTGTATTAAACTTGGTTTATTTGGTTTCTTTTGGTCTGTAAACTTTTAAAACAGGGTATTTGCTTTTGTTTTTGTTGTTCTGGAGGAACATCAGTTTAATTATAAGGATGTTTCTTGCTTTCTTTCTGACTATTTTCATACTATTTCTGCCTATATGTGCCTTGTTCTATGCTTTTGGACACAAACCATTACAATGGTGCTGTGTTTAGATATATATGTGCATTAATTTTGATGAAAGCCAAAAGGGGGAAAATAAAAGCAAACTCAATTGTTGACAAGCTTCTCCATCCATCTTCATGCTAAGGTATACTTCCTCTAATTATATTTACTTGCAACACTTCTCTTTTCACGCTTGCCGATGCATTATTTCAATCGTTTATATCTTTAATTATCAATATGTAAAAATTATAAATGTTAGATATTAAAATAGTATAAATCGAGACGAATCTAACAAGATCCCACATGACTATATTTTTTCTTAGCTATAAATCATCAAATCTAGTCAAAGTGGAGTACATGAATAGTGTAAAAGTCAAACTGTTGCAAGTATAAGAAAACGGAGGAAGTATAATTTACTTTTAGTTCCCTGTTACTAGTTCAACATATTTTTTTGTTACATATTTTTAGTTCTGTTTTCTCTTGATTGTTACTTCTTTATTTTACTGAGTTTGCTTAGGTTTGTCATTCATCAAAAAAGGGGAATATTTTTAACCTTATGTTTTGATGATGACACAAGGAACCTAAGCAAACCTATGCTAGTTTAACTTTCGTTTTTAGCTTTGATTTATTACAGGTTTATGCTATGAAATTCTTGAGTGAGAAGGGAGCATGGAACAAGATCTGAGCTAGCTATGGAAGTATAAAGAATCAATCAAGTCGTGTTCCTTGGAGGGAACTGAAGCTCCAAAGTTGAAGCTTCGAAGGAAAGGTCCTTGAGTGAGGAACTGAAGCCTCAGAGTGGAAGCTTCTCACAGTGTCAAGGAGTCTAATGTATTTTATCTTTACTTTAGGCTACTAGTAATTATGTTAAGTACATTGACAATTGATAGGATTTAAGTGAATTTAATTTTATTTGATAAAGATTTTATTTTCCATATTTTAACTTGTTTTAATTTTATTTCGAAATATATCTTTTGAGTTAAAATATCTTGTTAGTTAAAAAGATTTTCTGTTTTAATTCTATCCTACTATTTTGGAAAATCTGATTTGGAAAATATTATTTGTAAACGGTTGTTTTACTTGGTGAAGGAAGTTGAGAGAAAATAGGAAGCAGTAAACCACTTCCTTGTAAAGTGCTTAGCTTGCTGCCCAAGCACCCACGAATTACACTTCCTTGTTCTAAGGAGTTGTGGTTAAGTGGTGATTAAGGCAACTAAAATCTAACTGCCTGACTCTTTTATAAATAGCCTCAGTTTTCAGTTGGAAAAAGTACACTTGAGCATTACAGTGTTTTAGCTTTTAAAAAGAGTCATAATCCACTTAAGTCCTTGAGTGTCTTTGTACTTAGCAATTTAGAGTTTAATCCTTGAGTTTTATTGGGTTAGAGTTTGGGGAAACTCTAAGAGTGTTTTATTGCTTTGAGTGAAGCAAGGAGAAAGAGAGAGAGTTTGAGAGTTCGACTGATTGAGGGATCAGTTGAAGGGAGCTTAAGTTCATAGAGGAACTTGAGTTTAGATTCTTAATTTGTAATAGGTTGTTTGCCCTATTATTATTAAGAGTTCAGTTAAAATCCCTTGTGGTCGTGGTTTTTCTTCTTGATTAGGGCCAAGAAGTTTTCCACGTAAAATCTCTCTTTGCACTTTTAGTTTTTATTCGAGTTCCTTGATAAATTTCGCAAAAATTACCCTAGTTCCTCTACAATACAATTCACCCCCCTCTTGTATTGTTCATTCGAGTCAACAGCATCCAACACAAATCAATATCCAAAACAATATCCAACACAAATCAATACCCAAAACAATAACCAACACAAATCAATTTCCAAATCAATATCCAATAACATTATATCCAACAACATTGTATCCAAAACAATATCCAACAACATTATGTCCAACACCATAGTATCCAACAGAACATTATCCAACAACAAAGCCAACAGAGCAAGAAGCATAGGCAACCAAAGGGACTTAGAAAATTGGCCATAAACCATAAAAATCGAACCAATTTCAAGGGATAATGCAACAATATATACACATGCATATAAAAAATGATAATAAAGTTAAGGGTCAGAGAATTATACGAGTCTGAGTCACCCAGAAGGGTGGAATTTCCGATCCAGCCACTTGAGGAACTCGAGATACGTTGGATCATACTCATCCTCATCAACCTCAACCCCAGATCTCACCCTTTTTCCCCCAACCTTAGCATCTTCAGAGGGGAAATACAACTTCGGTGGAGGATTAGACATGGTATACCCATACCACTCCTCTTCCTCTTCCTCTTCAGCTCCTCCTTCCACCTTCTCCTTCCCTTTTCCTCCTTCGTTCTTTTTAGCTACAACCTCCTTCTTCTTTTCCACTTCCTCTTCAGATCCACCTTCCACCTTCTCCTTCCCTTTTCCTTTATCATCTTTTTCAGCCTCAACCTCCTTGTTCTTTTCCTCTTCCTCAATTTGGTCAACTATCTTAACCCCCCTCCCACCAATCTTCCTCATAACCTCACATCTACCCATTTTCCTTGCTTTATAAATATGGCATCCCCTTAAGAGAGAGGTAGGTTCCATATCTGGCACAACAATCATGTTCACACCCCCCTTCGCTTCCTCTATTGAATTCAAGACCTTACCCAGTGCTACCAACCCAGCGCCAGACAGAACCAAAGCAGCCTCACCGGAATCGAAAAAACAGCGAGGCCACTCGGAATCTGTCCCCAGAGACATGATCAAATGGGAAAGTACACCTGCCTCCGCGTCGTCGGAGGTTGCACAGAAAACCCTCCCTAAGGGACTCAAGTCAGGGATTTTACGATTATCCATGAATAAATCTGGTAAATTTGCGAAAAAACGGAGGGAATTATGGTAGATCTGAAAGAGAAAAGAAAGAAATTCAGAAGAGGAGGAGTTGATGAAGGAGATGAAGTGAAGAGAGAGAAAGAGTTGCGTGAGTTGGGGATGAACAAGAGTTAGGGTTCTTAATTTTGGATGAATATTGTTGAATCTGGATGTTAAAAGAAGAAAGGGTGGGTGAATTAATTGAGAGTAGTTGGGAGTTATTTTAATTTTGGTGGGAGAGATTAGGTGAATCAAATTAGCTTAGTAATTTAATCAGATTTGATTAGGAGTTGTAAGTGTAGATTAAACAAAAAAAATAAGGGTATAATTGTAACTTCACACAAAAAAATTTACTAAATTTGGAAAGTTTTTACTTTGTTGCACATAATGTGTAGCTTCCTTTATGAAAATTGTTGTAGATTTTATGAAACGGAGGTAGTATTGACTTTATTAGTAATAACTTAATTTTCTTAAACTAGTGAAAATAAAATTGATTAAACATGGCTTGTAATGAACTAACCCATCTCCTGGATTCAAAAGTGTGAAACTTATACCGGCGAAACTACAAAATAAATACGTTTCAGTTTTAGGGATGCCCAAGTGTATTAAAGAAATTACACTGGTCTTTGACTGCAACAACGAATGTGTCCTCTTACTCCTCTACCTATGCCCAATTGCCCACTATTGGCACAATATTATAGAGGAGAAGAAGAGAACACATTATCTAGCCAATAAAAAATAACACATACTTCCCCCGTTCTATTAATATTGTAACAATGAACTTTTTGCACTATTCATTACTCTTATTTGACCATATAATATGAGTTATACGTTAAGCAAAATATAGTCAAGTGGGATCTTGTTGGATTCGTCTCATAAAATACTTTCACAATATTAACTTTTTATAATTTTTACTCTTACACAATTATATATATTTAGCATATAAAATGTGTTTTGGGATGCGTAATTTCCTCCTTGTTGCAATATTAACAGAACGGAGGAAGTATAAAGTATGTAACTCTGTATCGATGGGACACCCGAGTATATTAAAGAAATTATACCGGTCTTTGACTGCAAGGACTTGCTGTCCTCGACTTGCTATGCCCAGTTGCCCACTATGCAGAGACTACGCATCACCTTGCCAATAAAAATACAACACGATCGTAAACATTTCAAATCAGTGAGATAGACTTCTTGTTAGTTCTATAGCATTTTAACAGAAATCATCATGCATGGTGCATGACAAAGCCTAATGACAAGTTTAGAGTAAATGTTTAAATTATTATTGGCTTGTCATTATTATTATTGATCACCAATAAACTATTTATACACTAGTAACATAGCACTCCTAAATATCCTAATTAAACCCTAAACTTCCTAATAAGATAATATTTCAATATCAATAATTAACAAAATTCTATTATTAGAATATTTCTAAAATGCATAGGAGTATTTTTAATTGGTCTTGTATGGACCCGGTTTACAATAAATTATTGTAAATAATATAATCACATTCTAGATGATATAATCACTTTTTTAAATGATATAATTATCTTTTTGTGAGTCATATTTTGAATTATATAATCTCATATTAAATCATTTAATGAGATTATATAATTATCTTTAGGATGATAAATTTAAAAATCATCTTTTGAATGATGTAATTTACTACTTGATACTTTTTATAATGATAAATTCACTTTTTGGGTGATACTTTACATAACAGTTTCGGGATGATATAATCACTTTTGTAGTAATATAATCACATTTCGTATGATATAATCACATTCGTATGGTATACTAGAAGGTTGGATCTACAATAAGTCATTGTAGATCGGGTCTATTATAATCTTTACCATTTCCCTATAGGCTTATATACCTAACACCTAATTTGTCAGTTTCTTATTCTTGGCCTTTTAAGCTGCTTAATAACCATTTTAAACGTACATAAACAATAAAATCATACTATAGACCAAATAGAGAATAAAAATAAATGATATTGTTTAACTAATGTACATAATAATTATTTAATTAAAGACTTTTAAAGTCGTCGCTCCTTAGTCCTTAGACATATACAAGTATGTGTATATATATATCCTTCATTATCGATGAAAGCTAGCTTAGTAGTTTATTTTCTCACACCAAAAGATGGATATTCTAGTACAAAATGGCGATCAAAAAAAAAGAAAAATAACATTCCTTCGTATCATAGAGAAAAAATTGTTGATGATGATGAACACAAACCACTTATTCATAAAATTTGGGTCATTCTTAGCATCCATAATGTTTGTTAAGGCTATGTACGAGCAATATCTTCCGTATCGATGGCGAAACTCGATATCATCCATCCTCTATCGTTACATATATCAGTTTTTGAGTTCTTTCTCTCCATATCATCATATAACCTTTGAAGAGTTTACGGGTGAACGATTTAATCGAAGCGAGGCGTTCACTATCATTGAGACATACCTTAGTGAGAAGACTTCAGAAAAAGCGAGGAGATTAAAGGGTAATTTTGTTAAGGATGGTAAGGATTTAGTCCTTGGATTAGCTGATAATGAAGAGGTAATTGATGAATATGAAGGAGTTAAGGTATGGTGGAAATGTCGTAGAAGTGTTTCCAGAAGTCAAAGCATCAATATCTACCCTGGATCGAATGATAAAAGGTACGTATATGTTCAATTATTAATTTTTTTTTTTTTTTAGTATATTTTGATAATAGTCTTAAGGAATTTACACTTCTTTCTTAAGAAACTGATTTTTTTAAAAAAAATTCTCTCTATAATTTGTGTTTCCATTGTAAAAAATACATTTTTTTTTTGTTTTTTTTTTTTTGCGTATAAATATTTTTTTTACCATACTAGTATACTTTTGTGAAAAATTGAATATGCATATTTAAACAATAAAATATTTTTTTGTAGTGAATCCTTTTACCAAAAAAAATTTCCATCCTTTTCGTCAAAAAGAAAAAAAAAATAAAAATTCCATTCTTATACTCCGTATGACTATCATCAGTATTTTTTTTTTTTTTTTTTTCACTTTGACTGGTCATTTGCAATTTATTGGTGCCTTTTTTTTTTCTTTATGGTGAAAGAGAGGGGAAGGCCTCAAAAACAAGAGATGCATTATTATCATTTTTCATGCTTATGCTTGTTTGAACCTTTAAAAACCTGAGAAGTGAAAATTTACAAATAGTATAACTTTTGGTCATTTTTTTTAGGAATTGTATGAATGAAATAATTTCCCATGAATACAAATTAAATCAATACTCCGTACTATCTTACTTTTAGAGACTCATAAAGTCATAATCGATAGTGGCTTTTGAGAACTTTTTTTTTTGAAGAGGAGGCTTTTGAGAACTTAATTTATCTATAATTACGACTTATTAGTCTTTATACCTACAATATATAAGGTGTTATTGGACTTTATTGCTACTTTATAACCTTTATTGTATTTAATCTTATTTTATTTGAATAACTTTTGAACCTTACAACTTATTAGTCCCTTATACAGTTATACCTACAATGTTTTGATTCATCATTGTAACAGGAATTTTAAGCTCACTTTTCATAGCCGTTATAGAGATCTTATCACCAAATCTTACATGACTTACATATTAGAAGAAGGCAAAGCAATAACAACCCGAAAACGTCAAAGGAAGTTGTTTACCAACGTTAAGGAACAAAAAGGAGCAACTAGTGGTAGATGGACCTTATGGAGCCATGTCGAGTTCAAGCACCCGGCCACTTTCGACACGTTAGGCATGGCCGAGGCTAAGAAGAATTACATCATGAATGACCTTGTTCGATTTAGTAACTCAAAGGATTACTACGACAAGATCGGGAAGCCGTGGAAGCGTGGTTATCTCTTGTATGGACCTCCTGGCACGGGTAAATCAACCATGATTGTTGCAATAGCTAACTTGTTGGAGTATGACATTTATGACCTTGAGCTAACTATGGTCGCGGACAATACTCAACTAAGGAGGCTACTCATTGAGACATCGAATAAGTCGATTATTGTGATCGAAGATATTGATTGTTCACTTGATTTAACGGGGCAAAGATCGTCAATGAAGGAGGAAAAAAAGGTTAAAACAAGCGAGGATGAGAAGGATAAGGTTAAGAAAGTGTTGAAGGATCGAGAACAAGTTGAGAGCAAAAAGAGTCAAGTTACTCTTTCGGGGTTGTTGAATATGATTGATGGGATTTGGTCTGCTGTTGGAGAAGAGAGGTTAATTATATTTACTACTAATTATATTGAGAAGCTTGATCAAGCACTTATTCGAAGGGGGAGAATGGATGTTCATATTGAGCTTTTGTATTGTTGTTTTGAGTCGTTTAAGGTGCTTGCGAATAATTATCTAGATGTTAAGTCGCATCCTTTGTTTGAGACTATAAAGGGATTGTTAGAGGAGACTAAGATGAATCCTGCTGATGTAGCTGAGAATTTGATGCCGAAGTCTCTTGAGTTAGATGTTGATGATTGTTTAGAGAATTTGGTGAAAGCTCTTGAAAAGGTGAAATTGGATTATCAATTGAAGGAAGAAAGGAAGAAGAAGGAGGAAAAGAGGGAAAAGGAGAAGATGGAGAAGGAGAAAGAAAAGGAAAAGGAAAAGGAAGAATTGAAGGAGGAACAAGAAGTGCATGCTAATGGAGAGGATCTTAAGAATGAAGATGAAACTTTGGATAATTAAACCATGATATTCTTGAAAAGAAAATTTAATCAAGTGTATTGCCACTTTGTAAAGTGGCATTGTTCTTGAAAAATCACCTTTGTTTATGTTTTGTTTTGTTAGATTATACTCCAAATATTTTAATTTCTTTTGTTTTTCTTATTACCAATTTGTTACTTTTCTTTTTTTGGTGGGTGAAATAGGAGTGACATAATTGGTAGTGAATGTGAGAGTAAAGTTATACTCCCTCAAATTATATTATAGAATACTCTTAAAGGAAAAATCCAAAAAGAAAAATTAAAAGGCAAATAAAACAAGTTGAAGTAATTTTAATTTCTATGTATAATTTGTTATAAACAACAAATAAAAAGTATTTATGCAATTCCATTTACATAAGAAAATGTATTGCCATTGGTATTGTTGTGAATTATGTATTGGATTAGAATAATCTAAGCTATTGTCTACTATAGACTTTAATTTTGTCACTCTATTCGTCCCCAAATATAATGCTCATTCTTCTTCAATTCCCTTATCTTGCACCAGTTTTAAGGCCCAGAAGAGGCTGGGTGTACACTTAAAAAAAAAAAAAAAAAAAAAAAAAAAAAAAAAAAAAAAAAAAAAAAAATCAACTAGACATTAAGCCATTTAGTTAATTGTATATATATATGCAATACATAAATATAGGAATAAAGGCTAGATTACATTGGTCCAAATAGGAGCTAATTCAAGTTTATCACTATGAGAAACTATTTCTTGTTTATCAAATGACAATTTTGTAAATAAATTGCATAGATATTGGTGCTTTATGATAAACAATTATTTATTTGTACTTTGTACAGCTGGCCACAAAACTCACCGTGAGATGGTTTTCAATAGAGCAAAGAGAAATGTAACCATTTTCAAATTGAGTACCCGTTTAATTTTTTATTTTAAATTATCATCCCTTGAATTAAATAAATGATCATATTACCATCCATTTTACAAATCTGGTGAATTTTCCGTTTATGGGCCCCACCTAACGCTTATTTTGACCCTTTTGACTGATTTTTTTCCCCGATTTTTCTCTTTAAAAACGCTCTTCTAACTTCAATTCACATTTTTCTTTTTGAAATTTGGTAGAATAATTTGGTGAAAGAAATGTGAATTAAAGTTTAGAGAGCATTTTTAAAGAGAAAAATCAGGGAAAAATCAATCAAAATGGTCAAAATAAGTGTTAGGTGAGGCCTACAGACAGGAAATCCACTGGATTTTTAAAATGGGTGGTAATTTGGGCATTTATTTAATTTAAGGGGTGGTAATTTAAAATAAAAAATTAAACGAGTAGTTCGTTCGAAAATGGTTACATTTTTGGGTGGTAATTTAAAAATTAACCTTTTAATTTTAATTATGTATATTGCCATTTTGTAATGTGACATTGTTCTTGAAAAAACATCTTGTTTTAGTTTGCAATGTTTTCTTAGACCCTATATATTTTCTTTTGTTGTGCCTTTCATGATTGTGTTACAATTTTTTATTTTTTATTTTTTATTTTATATATTTTTTTTGGGTGAGGTATGGCATGAGTGGCAAAATTGCAAAATGTAGTTAATGTGTGAGTAAAGTATTGATCTCTCAAGTCATTTATATTATACGTAGTAATCTATATCTATATCTATACTTAGTATTTAAAAATTATAACCAAGAAACTAAGAAAGACATATGTCCCCATCCATTCTATTACACTTCTCTAACCATTGTGCCACATGTCATCTTACACTATTAATTTTTTATTACACCATTTTTTTTTAATTCTTTCATTAAACTTATAGTACTTTATTTTTTCATACACACTTCATCTCTTCATCTTCATCTCTCTCCTTTAATTCAACCTTTTCCTATTATCTTTAATTTTAGCCCTTTCACCTTCTATTTAAGCCTCTTTTTCGATTAAAGTTCTAAAATTTCAATTTCTTTAATCATGTTTCCGATTACATATTATACCCTATAATGACTTACTGATATTTCCTCACTTATCTCTCAATATAATTTTATATGAATTACCCGTGCATTGTACGGGCCAGAAGGCTAATTTAAACTGAAAGGAAGAAACCCAAAGAAAAGTGAGACACACAAAAAATATCGGATGAAAAACGTATTATTCAATATATAATCTATACAACAAAAAATATTCATTCGTACTATCCCACACATACATAAGAATTTTTTTTTAATAAAAATGTAATGTCATTGTTATTGTCGTGTCGTATGACTCGTATATATTGGGTTAGAAATTAGAATAATCTATTATTGACTTATTGTAGACTATCTTTTATTTGTCACTTTATTCGTCCCCAAATGTAACGCTAGCTCATTCTTCTTCAATTCTATATCTAATAATCTATTATTGACTTATTGTAGACTATCTTTTATTTGTCACTCTATTCGTCCCCAAATGTAACGCTACCTCATTCTTCTTCATTTCTATATCTTTAAGCCATTTATATTGTAGACTATCCTGCCTTCTTGTTGTTTTCAAAATTCAATAAATCTCCTCAATTAGGCCCTATTCTATTCACTTTAAAAAAATAATATTAAGTAAAAATAATTTCAATTCAGTAAAAATAAGTTAAGTTCAGTAAAATTTATTTCAGTTCAGTAAAAATAAGTTCATTTCAGTAAATTTCTGTTTTCTTAAAGTAGAATTATAATTAGAAAATCAGTAAAAAATAATTTCAGTTCAACAAAAATAATTTCAGTTCAGTAAAATTAATTTAAGTTCAGTAAAAATAATTTAAGTTCAGCAAAAATAATTTCAGTTCAGTAAAAATAATTTCAATTTGGCAAAATTAAGGTGAAGAGAACATGACCTTAGTCAATTATACTAGAGAAGATATTGTGTGAGGCTTGTCTCATCAATAGTTTGGTGAGTCAAGCCTTAAAACAACAATCTAATTTTTAGATGATATCATATAATCAATAGCTAGAGGATATCATCTAGCCTATATATGATATCATCTATTGGGGAGATGATGTCATGAAAGCAATAGAGGATATCATAGAATTAATAGAGGATTATCATCCAACAGGATATATATCATCCATCTTATAAATAATATCATCTAGGGAATGGATGATATCATCCAGCTTATAGATATTATGGAGCCAATAGAGGTTATCATCCAGCGTATAGATAATATCATAAAACCTATATAATAGAGGATATCATTGAACTAATAAAGGATGTCATGGAACTAATACGGGATATCATCTAGACAATGGATGATATCATCCAACTTATTGTAGATGATATGATCTAGACAATATAATTTTCTATAATTTATTTTTTAAAAATAATTAAAAGGTCAACAATGGCATCGCACCTAATCCTGGGCACCGTGCCGTGCCGGGCCGCCGCGGGCCGTGCATGGCGGGCCACGGGCTGGTTCGTGCCGTGCCGGTCGTGCCGGCGGGCCCAGGATTTCGTGCCGTGCCGTGCCGGCGGGCCCAGGATTTCGTGCCGTGCCGTGCCGGCCATTTTCACAGGCCAGCCCACGGCACGGCACGACCCTCGTGCCTGGCGAGCTCGTGCCGTGCCGGCCACGTGCCGGCCTGCGGGCTGGCCTGCGCGGGCTGGTGCAGTTTTCATTTTTTTTTTTTTTTTTTTTTTTTAATGACAACATTATAAATTAATAAGTTTATAATGTATATAAGTTATAAAATTATAATTATAAGTTTTATAAGGTAACTTATAAGTTTATAACTTATAAGTTATAAGTTATTAAGTTATGAATTTTATAATTATAAGTTGAATATTTATGTTTTATAATTTGTATATTCAATATTTATATTTATATATTTACTTTATACTATTACTTTAAAATTTAATGTTTATGATTTATTAGTAATTGGTATAATTTTATTTTTTTTTAATATGAATTTACAAATTGTAACAAAACGGGGAAAAAAGGCAAATTGGACTTTGGATGTGAATAATGCGTAATTTATATTATTATTACTTGAGTTGAGAAAATTGTACAATGATAACAATGATAAAAATCATACAATGATGGTATTAAACAAAAATTGGAAAATGATAAAATTGATATTTTTAAAATCGTACAATATACAATAATTGTCTATTCTTCTTCTCCTTCTTCTTGCTCGTCTTCGTCTTCGTCTTCGTCTTCGCCTTCGCCTTCAAGGTCATCGGCTAGTTGCATAGATTGGGAACTAGCCGAACCCGAACCGGAAGCGGAGGTTCCTTCTTCGTTGTCGTTGTGGTCGTAAGAACGGTCTTGTGAGCGATTTTCCGCATCCAACCAATCTTTGAAACACATGCACATTTCTAGTGTTTCGGGTTTTAGACTTGTTCTTCTATCGTCTAAAACCCTTCCGGATGCGCTGAAAGCTCGTTCGGAGGCGACGGAGGAAACTTGGATAGCAAGAATGTCTCGTGCCATTGCCGCCAAAGTTGGATGCTTCGAGCTTTGTTGTTTCCACCATGCAAGGAGGTCGAGGTTGTTTATCTCATCGTCGTCCATGCCTTTGGTGAAGTCGTAACTCAGGTACATCTGCAACTCCGAGACGTCGCTTTGCGTTCTCCTGATTAATGAATCACCTGAAAACCTTGAAATCAAGTTAGTAGCTTGTGAAAATAAATGTTTGGCCTTCTTACTTACGTTTTTGGATGGTTGGGAAGGCCCTGAGCGAGGAACGGTGCCATATTTGGCTTCATAGACTCTATATAAAGCAAAAAACTGATCCTTCACATTAGTCTTATAGTTTTCTACATCATCGTCAAGAAACATGCATTGAAAGTAAATGTCAACTAATATAAATGTGTTTTCATACTTTTGCCTAGGATCTAATATGGAAGCAAAAATATAAATCAAAGGAATCTCACTATAATATTTACGCCACTTTTTTTCCATTGCTGGAAGATACTGATCATAATCACTTTGATCGCGATGATCAGCGAAAAGTTGGGCGAGTAAGCATGCATTAGAAAGAAAGTTTTGAGCACAAGGATTGTAAACAGTAGAAAAACAATACGTCATGTTATATAATAACTGTAAAAATTGCATATATCTTTCACAGTTTTTCCAATCATCATCATACAAAGCATTTTGTGGAAATTTTTGGTTGTAAAATAATGTTAACGGGCCCTTGTACTCAATTGCCTTTGTTAACATGTCATAGGTGGAATTCCACCTAGTTGGGCAATCGGTTCTAATTTTTATTACCCTTATCTTTTGTTGTTTTAGAAAACTCTTCCATTCTTGGTATCTCATGTTAGAGCTATTAATAGACATAATAGCATCTCTGATTTTGCTGTAGTATGGGCCAATTGCCCGAACTCCATCCTGTACACATAAGTTAAGTACATGGCAAACACATCTAGTATGAAGAGCTTCACCGTCTAATAGTACATCGGTTAAGTTTTGTTTGATAAGATTAGCTGTGTATGTCATAGAGGTTGCATTATCAAAAGTCATAGACATCATTTTATCTCGAAGGTTGTATTCGTCTATTGCTTGCATTAAATGGTGAGCAATGTTAATGCCGGTGTGTGGGTATTCCAGCATTTTGAAATGTATTATTCTTTTTTGTAACATCCATTGATCATCTACCCAATGGAAAGTCACACATAAATAGTGATATTTATAACCACTATCCCAAGAATCGGCTGTTAAAGATACTCTACAGTTAAGGTTACTCAATTCGGCTTGTAACCGGACTTTGTACTCTAGGAAATTTTTCATTGCGGCGGAACGAACAGTTTTCCTAGAGATTCTTTTATGTTGGGGTTGTAGTGCTTTGTTAATGTAGGTGTTGAATGCGTCACTTTCCGAGAAAAGAAAAGGTTGTTCGGCGTGTACTATCATTTTTCCTAGTTCATCCCTATCCCTCTCATAGTTGTATGTAAAGCCGTATGGATGGAATTGGGAA